GCGTTCCGTCGTGTCGGCACCCCTCACGGAGGGTATACACACACAAAAGAATAGGTGCAGCGCACACGCAGCAACACAAAAGCAAAATAACAATAAAAAAGGTGATCCCCGCACACCATGTGGATTGTTGGTCCACGGGAAGTGCAGCCAATATTCATCATGTAAACAACTTACATTATGTTTACTCTTCTTTGCGTGTTGTGCCGGCAACAGGTGAGTAGCGCAAGGGCCGTCCGCAATAAAGTGTCAATTATTCCGTCGCAAACAGGCCGTTTTGCAGGCTGAGGCAGTCCCAAACAGTCGCAGTCCAAATTCTCAACGACGGGGCATTACCACAGTGGATGAAGCGGAGTGTCCCGTGTTCCGTCGGGGATCAGCAGCACGTGGCGTCTGTGATGGGACAGTGGCGGAAGAGCCTGGTCCGTCTCTAGTACCCGCGTTTGTGCTTCCTGCGTGTCTTGCCTGCCGGCGTGCTTGGCGACTTCGGTGGCAACCTGCCCGCGAGGCGCCTGTTAAGAAGACGGTGGCGCCACTGCGGCATGCAAAGTTGAGGCCCTCTCCCACTATCGGAACGCCAGGCCGAGCACGTCGGCATCTGCCGTCATATTGTGGACGGACGAGCGCACTCTGCCGCAGTTTGGGCAGGACGACTTCAATCCGCCGCTCGCTGGTCGGCAAGGATTTGCGGCGTTCACGTCTGGAAGAGGTTCCCGCGGAGGCGGTGGCGGGCCCGTCTCCTCAGTAAAGAAAGGACGGCGCCACCGACGCAGGGAGTTACTTGTGATATGCAGGGCGCGTGCGGCCTGTCGAAGAGCGGGCAGGAGTCGCATCGCACCTTTGCGCGGTGCCGCCACTCGGGGCACGATGTCCGGGTTGACACCAGGAACAGAGTCCTCGCCACACCGAAAAACGCCTGTCACATGGTGTGTGCGGCTTCCTTTTCCTCCTGCACTTCCTTCCATTATAACCCCCCGACGGCGCTAAGGAAGCCCACGCGCCAGGCATTGACGCAGTCCTGCGGAAGGTATCGTGCCATGACGGCACCAGCGTCCGCCGTCACGTTGTGTGGGATTCCGAAGTGCCATTGGGAAAATACGGAGCCAACAGCGCGACCTCAATCCGCCAGTGAAAGCGGCATCATGCTAATCTTTTCGATGACGTCGTCGCGCGCCGCCAGCGGGCCAAGGCGGAGCGCCTCCATCGCCGAGAGGGAGTCTGTGGCAGCAGGAACTCGCGTGGGCGATTGGGATGCTGCTGCCAGGCGGGGAACTGAAAACTGTCTGTGGCCATGCTCAGTGGCACGACGCTCCGCTCGGCAGGAGCACGCAAGGCTGCCGGCAGCTGCGCGGTGAGGCCCCACAGGGAGCTCCGCTGTCCGGGGAGTCAAGTGGCAGCGCGGCGGATCCAGATGCATGCTCAGCGAGAGACAACGAGCCGTCCACCGCCAACACAGTTGCCAGCGACTAACAAGACGTTGAGCATGAATAGGACACGTATGCCCGCGCTGCCGTGGGCATGGACAGCGACCCCGATTCACTCAGCAACAGTGATCTAATGCCCTTGGATGGTGCAACAGCCACGCCGGAACACAGCACAGCCCTAGCAGATGTTGAACGAGTGATAACTTGTCGGGCGGCGCTGATGCCGCACAGGATTATTTGCGCACAACGTCTGGGAAACCAGAGATCCCATCGGAGCACAACGCAGCATCACTTGTGCGCAACGGTTTTTGTGAGCACGGGCATTTCACGGATTTGTTGGCCATGGCTGAAATTGGTGACATCACCGTGCATGGGTGTGTGTCTCGGGTGTTGTTGCTTCTGCTTCTGGGGCTGTGAGGCACTGCGGCGCTCTGCTGAGGTGTGGGGGAGGGTCGAATTGCGGCTTTTCGTGGAACAATAACTGTGCAGCTTGCCAGCACTAACCACTGGGTTTTGTCAATAATTTAAGTTCTTTTATTTTCTTTTATTTATTTATTTATTTTTGCTGCTTTTGCCCTATTGGAATAATCAGCATCCCTGTGTTTTCCCCAATGCTCGTTTGCTGTACGTTGTCATGAGTGACGTGTTTCTCCCTCTTTTGTTTCCTTCTCTTGCCCACACGCGGTGCCGACCCTGCGGCTGTGCGTCCCACGGACTGCACAAGAGGAGGATTGGAGGAACAGGCCGGATGCCGCACTAAATGTGAGAAATGTTGTGTGGGCTCACGGAACAGTACGATCTTTTTTTGCTTTATTCAGTCCATGCATTACGTATACACAAACCAGTGGTTGTTTACATTTTGCTGCTTGGCAAATAAAATAAAAGTCGTGCCTGATCCATTTTTATTTTTTATTTTTTTGGAGTCATGCCGGACTCTCAACTCCGTTGCTGTTTTTTTTTTACTGCTTTTTAAACTTCTGGTTTGCAGGGCGGTGTGTGAGTACTGCAATTGTACTGATTCCATCTGTTTCGTGGTGTGTGCATTGCCATTTGTGACTGTGCGGTGGCTGTGTATGGTGTAGCGGTCGAGTCTCTCCTTTTTGCTTTTACTCTGCGTTGACGGGGAGTTAGTTTGTGCTGAAGGCTACACGCAAGTGACAGGAGTGATGGCGATGATGATGACTGGCCGTGTGCTGCTGGTGTGTGCCCTCTGCGTGCTGTGGTGCGGTGCCGGTGGCAGATCTGACGGGGGAAAAACGCCAGGCTCTGAAAGTGGACCCAGTATTCGTGGGGTTGATGAAGTCTCCGAAAGCGCCAACGGTCAGACGGCGTCTGGTGAAGCGGGAAACCCTACTGTACAACAAACGCAGCTGAACAACGTTGGGGGTCCTTCACTCGGGGCTCCGCCATTGCAAGCTGATTTACCGCCTGAATCAACAGTACAGCAGACACAAATCGACACCGAGCCTACGGATTCACTGTCACATTCACAATCATTGGGCGAAGAGCGGCAAGGTGGATCATCCGATGGTTCTTCAGGGAAACCGGCGGCTTCTCCCAGTCGAGAGGACAGGGAGAATGAATCAATTGGAGATCAACCGCGCAATGATCCGCCATCTTCTTCAATTAACAACGATGTTGTCAGCAGTAATAGTGAGGAGCGCACAGAAGATACTCCGAGGCGTGCTGAAATTATTGATGCCGCACCGTCAGAAGAGGGGCAGGAACGTGAAAATGTCACTCCTTCCTTGGAACAACCTCGGGAAACTTCCACGGCCGCACCGGCCGTTACCATTCAAACAAGTTCCATGACGACATCTGACGATGGTGCTCTTGACACCGTCAAAATGAGTGATGCATCACTCCAATCAACAGGCACCGCCAACACAAATGTTACGACGACGCCTGCCGAAAACGACAGCAGCACCGCGGTCTCCCACACCACCTCTCCTCTTTTGCTTCTTATTGTTGTTGTTGCGTGTGCGGCTGCTGCTGCGGTGGTGGCCGCGTGAGAGTGAGGGAGAGAGAGCCGTGCACCGCCCGCACACACACTCGTCCTTCTCTCTCTCTGTGTGTGTCCCCTTGCATGGACTCTCGCCCTCACCTCACCCCACGAAGCACACACAATAATGTGCCCATTGTATATATGCATGCACACCCATGCATGCCCGTTGGTGCTCTCTTTTGCACCACACGCACCACCGCCGTCCTGCCTGGCTGCATGGGCGGAGCACCGTAACTGTTTTTGTTTTGTTTTCATTGCATTGAGTGGGCGACCTCTCTCTCTCTCTCTCCCTGTGTGTGTGTTTTGCTTTACGGGAGCAATGAGAGTTTGTGCGCTGGTCGTCCCACGCTTCGGCCTTTTTTTTTTTTTTTTTTATTGTTTTGCTTGTGTTGTGGTTGAGAGCACCCATCACCTTTTTTTTTGTGGATTATTGGGTTGCTTTGACTGCGGACACTTGAATTTTTGTTTTTATTTTTCTATTGTTTTGTTTTTGTTGAGGAAGTGTCAGTCTCTTGTATTCTTGTCAGGCCATTAAGATTGTCTTTGGCTTATGGCATGCGTCCGTTGATCCACGTTAACCCCACGGTCTGCATCGCTACTGGTGCTGCTATTGATGATCTGTGCGATGTGGTTTGTCGGCGGACGTCTTGCTTTCACCCTGAAGTATTCCTTATTTCTTGACGATGTGGTGCGCTCCCACAGCGAGGCTCTCGTTTACGGTGGGGAGAATGCATCTCAGGTTGCTGGACGCGTTGCAGGTGTGCAGCGGCGTCTGGAAGGACCCATGGGTGCCCATAGGCATTAAGGCATCAACAACAGACCCGTGTGACAGCAGGAAGCACTGCGTCTTCTCCTGGTCTCACGCAATGAATTCATTGAATGAAAATCGACACTGTGAGGATGGTTTTCTATCCTCTGCACACGGTAATATCCTTGCCGAGGAGACTATCCCTGCTGCTGCCAAACTGCATGCGGATCGTCTGCTCGTCCAGCCACTGGAGGGTCCGTTGATTGTGTACTCATTTGCCACGGGCAGCGTTTGCAGTCGGTTCACTGTGCCTGCTGGGCATTGTTGCTCTGGTGTTGCCGATTCTGTCATGGTGCAGTGCGTGGCTGTGGCGTCGGGTGGTGTGTAGGCACTGCGGTGCGCCACGCTGGAGGATGGCCATCCCGTCGCTGGCGCCATGCACTTTGCCAGTCAGTTTTATTTCACGGATGCATCGCCACCCGCATCGCCGCGCACCTGTTGGCCCATGCTGTCGGGTTCAACTGCCCGCACATGGCCAGCCGCAGCATGGTGAGGAATGCTGCCGGTGTGCGTGGAAGAGCGCTGTTTGTGATGGTGGACTCGACGAATGCCGCGATGGCTGCGAGGGAGCACCAATATTGCGGCGACATTGATGGCATGGAACTGCAGGATAACGATGGGGACGGGAGGACGCTGGAGTCCCACTGGTCGCGGCGCCAAGCTAGGGATGAGTGGATGGCACCGATTGAGGGCGCCGCCGGCTGCAGAGGAAGTGCTCCGCACCGAACATGAGTGAATATTCCCACATGCTCTGCGACGTGGGTGTCCCTGTCAAACGCTGCACGTCGGATCGGTATTCCCGCGGTTGGTATCTGGGGAGTATCCACGAAATGTCAGCCAAACGCCCGATGGGCCGTTGTCCCATCACTGATCCCGCACTAGATATGAAGGATATTGAGGGCTGTTATTTGGAGGGGAGAATTTTTTTCTGCGGTGCCTGAGGATGAGCCCTCTTCGTGGTGTCTGGACACGCTTCCCAACAACACGACGGATGCGAGGAACCCGGAGGAGACATATTTCAGTGCTGCCATGCATGCGGCATTGAGGTGCCTCGGCATGAAGGTGCATCTGGCAGTGACTGAAGAGGGTAACGTCCGTTGTTTCCCATGCACGGACGCAGCGAAGATTACGTGGGCCACTCGACTCTACGATGAGGGAAACGTTATTTGCCGTGACCACGCGCAGGTGTGCACGATATCTTTCACCAGCGGTAGCCTACTTCCAGTGGTTCCGTGGGACGGCGAGGAGAGAGCATGTGGAGCAGGACGGTTTCGCCGGCATCTACTGAACAAGGATTGCCAGGGGCATCCGTCCCCGTTGCGGAGAGCATTGGGACCGGCCGCGGCACACCACCGAAGGATGTAGACACGGCTGCTCTCCAGAAGCGTCCGTTGACAGAGGAGAAGTGGATTCGGCCAGGATGCCCCGACAGACCGCAAGAAGCTTCTCTCGGTGGCAGGGATCGAAGCAGCGAGACGGGCGGCAGGCAGGACACGTCTCCGACTCCCGGTGATGACACTGCTGCTGCTTGTCCCTGTCCGCTGCTTCTTCTGCTTGCCTCTGCTGCCGCCGTGGCAACACTCCATCGAGTTGCGGTGTGGATGGCGTTGCGCTGCAAGGCGACTGTGCTTCCTCCTGCGTGGCCTGCACTCACCATTGTATGTCCAATAGAAAAACATTCATTTTATTGGGTCCTCTTCTCCATATGCATGTGCTGCATGGGCTCCGTTTGACCTTTTATTTGAGATTGGTTGTATTTCCGGTGCACACAGCTCTTCTTGTTTTGTTTGCCGATGTTGGGGGCACCAGATGGTCGTATGGCATTGCTTGTGTGTTTGTTAGATTTTATGAGAAGCAAATACACACACCGGTGCAAGTGAAATGTGCACACACAAGACACACACACATATCCAAGCACATTTTCTTTGTGACTTGTGCTTGACATAGTATGCGGGGCGGGTTGGTGCGAGCAAGGCCGACGGAAGCGGGCAGCTGCGTGAGCCCAGCAATGGCGTTCGTGGTTGTGTGCGGGATTATATATTCCATCAGATGCTTGACGCCGTTCATGGATCGTCTAAAGTTTTTTTCTGCGATGCCTATGCTGCGTCTGTGCTGAGCTGCTCACTGCGTCTCCATGACCTCATGGAGCACGACATGACGCTGCTCGAGGACCCCATGACACCGCGGCAGCCGATTATGAGTAGCCCTGCGCGCCACTTTTTTCCGTGGAGGATGCGTCTGTGAGCCGCGTGGTTGAGGATTGGATGGCAAAGGTTCCGTACAGGGATGTACACATCTTTGCGCTGGGGTGCACCCCGCATCGCAGTCCTCAGCAACTCGAGTGGGCTCGGATAGCGCCGAGGGCGATGCGTTCCAAGGAAATGGTGTTAGACTTTACTGCCCCTGAGGTGCTGGTGTTCCACCTCAGCATGCAGAATGGGTTCCCTCAGCTGCTGTCGCCGCTGTCGCCCCCGAATTGAGAGTCCGTTTTGGATGTTGCGGCGTCACGTCCTGTGGCGGCTTTTCACGCCATGAACAACAGTGTGCCTGTCATTCGCTACCAAAAGAGAGGCAGCATCTGCCATGGGCATGCCGGGACCTTCTTTGAGGGCTTGCCAGGCAATACCACGACGAGCCGGATTCCAATTAGGGGCGCCGACAGCTGCGGCAACCCGGTGCGGATTATCGTTGATTGGGGCTGTGTCATGGTGACGCCGCTGATGCACCAACGCACATGTCAGTGTCTGCTTGATGACCTGATGCCGCTGGAGAATAACTTTTATTAGCGGACCTGTAGGAATTGTCTGGGGTGGACTCGAAGCGGCAGTACTTGATGGATGAGGAAGATGTGTACCGGCGCTCCTACCGTCATTGTTTCCTTGCGCAGTGCGTGGAGGAGCTTTCGGTGGCGCTGAAAAAACTCCACGCGTATCACCCGGGATTGGCGCAGGGCGTGGAGCCGAAGGCCAATCTTGTGAGGTTGGGCAGTGCGGTGCGGGCTCCGCCGGAGTTTTGGGAGAGGCAAGCCAGACTGTCGCTGCACATCGATATTTGCGCGAGGCCTGTGGCACAGTACCGGGAGAAGCGACTGGCGGAGGTGCGGGAGGTGGAACAAGACATCGCCGTCTGGCACAAACCCTCAGGAAATAACTGGATGGCGTGCGGCGCCTGGCGAGGGATGCCGCGATGCCCCGGCCAGTGTGACTGCGTCTTCTCCTGTTGCTTGTGGCTGCCAGCAGCACCGACGAGTTGACGGAGGTCAAGAGGCAGCAGCAGATCCGAGACGGTGGACTGACGTTCGACGCCCATTTGTCCGCGAACCTTGAGCATGTGACGAGGAGGGCCGGGAGCGTGCAACGATACAGCACGGCGTTGGCGCAGAGCGGACGCAGCACGAGTGCCTCTGCGAGCAACGCCGCGACGGACGGGGATACGTTTCGGAAGCATGCCTGTATGATGATTGAGACGGCGAACAGGAATAGGACGCTGCGGGTTGAGCTGTCGTTGGCATCGGTGCAGCGCGATCATGCGATAGGGCCAAATGGCGCGAGTGGTGGCCAAAACAGTGGAGAAGCAGGGAATAACGCCGGGCCATTTCAATGGTGTGGTGGCAAAGAGGAGAATCATCCTGAGCTGGGTGGCGGTGGTGGGACGATTGCCCTCGCAACTCCTCAGCGCATTCTGCTGCTTGTTTTGTGTGGTTTGTCCTGCAGCGAGAGGCGCTCGGTCCATGAGGTATCCAAAAGACATGGCCGTGAGGTGGTCATTGGGGAGCCTTGTTGCCGCGTTCTGAGTCTTTTGTGTGCAGGGACTTGGCACCCTACGGCAGTAGGACTTAGGGGCGAGACACGCACAGGAATGCATCGACGGCCAAAGAGTGGGAAATATACAAACACAAACGATTGCGGGTGTCCATGGGATTGTGTGCGCTTCTTCTTGCCTTCCCTTTCTTTCCACGAAGCGTTTTATACGATACGCGTGTGTGTGTTTCAACGGCCGCGCTGCTCGCCTTTTGCTTTTGTATTCTTGCGTGTGCGGTTGCAATTCATTTCCATGCAACTAAGAATGCGGATAAAAAAGTAAGGAGATTTGTGGAGCATGCACCCACGGCTTCAGTGTTCATCCGCTGATGCTGACCTTTCTTGCCGGGGCATTTGTGCACGCTTTTCCCTCCATTATCCTTTTTTTTTGCACAGGAGGCAACGGGTGGGCATTCGTGAGTGCTGCGGCGGGCTGTTGTTGCCCTCCCCGGGACGCGCTTAACGGCGTCAGCTCCATGACTTTGTGCACAAAAGGAATGGGAATTTCTCCGGATCCTCACCGCAGGCGCATGCCGTGGACGGCCGAAAAGGAGTGTGTGCCCGGTGTTGTTCATAGCTCCAAGGAAAAGATGGTGTTGGATGGTGCACGACGAGTGGATGTGGATTGTGTTAACCGTGCATCGCAGACGTATTCGCTGGAGGCATTGCGGGCGACTGTGAACAAATGCAAGTACAATAAATGCAGAGGAATGAACATTTTTTAATTGGCTTCTCAGACGGAATCCAATGTACTCAGGCAATGGGTTTACCGCGAGGATTGGCAGGAGGGGACGTACGACGAGGACGCCACCAGCACCGCCATTCATTTCCGTCGCCACGGCAGTAACGCAGCTTCATGAGAATACACGACGTCTCACGGCGAAACCACGACGCAGCCCGCGCCAATAAGCCTTGCGGATTTTCCGGGGTGACATGCACTGTTTCGCTTGGCGCCACTGTTCCCCCATCCCCGAGCGTCGGTGCAGACGTCCCTGTCGATGCATGTTCCTATCGATTGCGGGCACACACCCATTGATTGATGCGGCCGACACCCCAGCCCATTGCTGGTGCTTCTGGCATGACTGCTGCACCGCCCCCAGCAGCTGGTGCAGTGGGACTGGGGACGAGAACACAGCAGACCAAGTTCAGTCAGATGGTGCTGGCAGCCCTGTCAGCGTCTAGCCTACCACAACGGCCCACACCTCCAGCGAGCACAGAAATCGACGGGACAGGGAAGGCATCGACGGAGTGTCAGGACATCAGTTGTTTTTTCACATCACTCCTAGTCAAGAAACCAGAAGAATTAACGACAACATCAGTCACTAATGAAAAAGGAACAACGACCACCGCCGACAGCGACGGCAGCACCGCGGTCTTCTACACCACTTCCCATCTTTTGCGTCTTATTTTCAGTTATGCAGCGGCAGCTGCGGTGGTGACCGCGGTTGCATGGAATAAGTGCTGTGCGCTGAATATGAACGAAGGCCAAAGTAAAATGAATTGTTCTTGTGATGAATTTTGGCTGCACTTCCCGTGGACCAACAATCCACGTGGTGTGCGGGGATCATTCCTTTTTAATTTGTTCTTTGCTTTTGTGTTGCCGTGTGCGCTGCACCTCCTCTTGTGTGTGTGCGTACCCTCCGTGAGGGGTGCCGACACGACGGACCGCTCTCGCCGTATGTGCATGCGGTGGAGCCTTGTGTGCCGCTCCTGTTTGCTTCTCCCTCCTCCATCTGTGTGTTTGTGTTGCGGCAGGGCTGTGTGTGTGTGTGCCTGCTGCCGTGGATTGGAGTGTGTGTCGTGCGTGGTGTGCGGTGTACGGTGCATGCCTGGCTGCTGCCCTCTCCTCATGTGGTGTGCCCTCTGTGTGTGTCTGCCGCACCTCTCGTCTCCCCTGTTGCTGTCCATGTCCCTCACTGTGCAGGTCAGCTCCACACCACTGAACGACCACACTCACGATGATGACGTGCCGTCTGCTGTGCGCCCTGTTGGTGCTTGCCCTGTGCTGCTGCCCGTCCGTGTGCGTGATGGCGAGTGCTGATAAAACTGGAAAAAATTCTGGTTCAAAGGTTGACGAGAAAGAGGGAACAGGTGAGGGGATGGAATCGCATAGTACAACTTCTCCTTCGCCACAGAAAGGAGAGGAGGAGAAAAGGAAGGAGGTACAGGAACCAAATATGGCGCTTCATACGTCACAGGAAACAGCTACAGTAACCGGAACGTCACAGTCACAAAATACTTCCAGTATTACACAGGATCAGGATCAAGATGGTGGTGAGTCTAATGGACGGACAGAACATACGAATGCCGTTACGGCAAATGAGCAACATAAGGAATCTAATGCACCCACCACGACGACCACTACAACAACGACAACGACCAAAACGACGACTACTACAACTACGACGACCACGACCACTACATCACAGGCACCAACTACTACGACTACAGAGGCACCAACCACGACGACCACCCGCGCACCGTCACGTCTGCGCGAAGTTGACGGCAGCCTCAGCAGCTCTGCGTGGGTGTGTGCCCCGCTGGTGCTCGCCGCATCCGCGCTGGCGTACACCACTCTGGGCTGAAGAGGTGTGTGTGCGGGCTGTGCGTGCCAGCACTCAACCACGGAGATTTTTGTGCGTCTACTGTGTTCCAATGTAAATAAATAAGAGAAAATAATGATTGTGTTTTGCTTCATTTGCTTCCGCTGCCCTGCTGTGTGCTCCATCTTGTTGCCTCCTGTATCCGTCACTTGGCAACCATCCCAGATACACTCATATGCACGACACGCACGCAACTGTTTGCGTGGACGCATGTTTGCGTGCGGATGCATGCACACTGGAGCCATTCGGTGCAGCTCCTTTTTTTTTTAAATTTTTGTTTCTTTTTTACTTGTGTTTTTAATTGTTTTGTTTTCTTTTTTTCTGTTTAATTACTGCAGGGCTGTGTATTTGCCTTTTTTGCCCTCCCACTGTTTTCAACTGCCTCATGGTGTGTGCACTTGTCGCTGGGCTGCTGGCACTTGTTGCTGTGGCGTGGCTGTGTGACTTGTATTTCTCTTTCTCTCATTGCTTCCGTTCTGCGTTGACGGGGATTTAGTTTGTGCTGAAGGCTACACGCAAGTGACAGGAGTGATGGCGATGATGGTGACTGGCCGTGTGCTGCTGATGTGTGCCCTCTGCGTGCTGTGGTGCCTCACTGTTTTTGGAGATGCAAGGGACAACCGTTGCGTTGAGGGTGATGGGAACGTATTGACGCGCACGCATAATGGAGGAAATAACGGACTGCGCCTGAAGGCGGATTGCGGGTTGATTTCTACCCGAATGGGATTAATAAAAGCGGTTGCGGCTGGGGAAAGAGAAGAAGAATTAGAAAGTGTTGATGCCCCATTGGACAGTGTGGGAGGAACATCGCCTGGTAGTCTCTTGGCTGTTACTGAGGGCAATGCAGCGCCTGGTGCAGGAGGGGTAGAAGGTGCCGCAGGTGCAGCAACACCATCCCTGCCGGTGTCTGGGCCTGGAGTGTCAGGGACAGGTGATGAAGGCGGGCAGTTACCTGTGGCTGGTCAAGAAGGGAATGAAAAAAATAACTTGGATCCCGGCAGCAAAGAGCCAAAGGAGTCCCAAGACCAAAACACCGATCAATTGTCCTCTCCATCTGGCAGCACTTCCACTCGTTCTGATGAAAAACTCTCTTCGACGGGTACTGATGACCTTACTCCATTGTCCAAGGACACGGAGACGGAATTAGGTGCCGATCGTCAGGATAACCGTGAAAGTAATGAAGCGATAGAGGAAGAGGATGGGGAAAAAGACAAGGGAAAAAAACAAGAAAAAAACATATTGCAACCCGAGACACAAGAAGTTCAAAATAATGGAGGAGGAACACCACCACCATCATTACCCGCACTACCACTGCCACTACCGCCATCGGGTGTACCTGCACCATCATCAACAGCAGGTGAAGGAAGCCCACCAACGGAACCAAAAAACTCACAGAATTCGAAAAAAATAAAGAACGAAGCCACGCCGTCAGGACCAACAATGGAATCAAAAGCAACGCAACCGCCTTCAGGGGATGCTACACAAGGGCAGCACAGTCATGACACAGACACAGAGGATTCGACGAAGAATGCAACAACCGGCAGTCCAGCAGAACCAACATCCTCATCTACCTCTACAAGTGGCAGCGGTGATCATTTCCAGAATAAGGCAGATAAGAATGATGCTCAAAGCTCTGAAGGACAACACGACAGCCTTGAAACTGGCAACACCAACGTTGTTCCAACACTCAGTGAGACAGCACCACAAACAGCAAAAACAACCAACACCGCTCAAACAAATGATACGGCGACACCTGGCGACAGTGACGGCAGCACCGCGGTCTCCCACACCACCTCCCCTCTTTTGCTTCTTCTTGTTGCGTGTGCGGCTGCGGCTGCGGTGGTGGCCGCGTGAGAGTGAGGGAGAGAGAGCCGTGCACCGCCCGCACACACACTCGTCTTTCACCCACTCTCTGTGTGTGTCCCCTTGCATGGACTCTCGCCCTCACCTCATCCCACGAGGCACACACATAATGTGCCCATTGTATATATGCATGCACACCCATGCAGGCCCGTTGGTGCTCTCTTTTGCACGACACGCACCGCTGCCGTCCTGCCTGGCTGCATGGGCGGAGCACCGTAACTGTTTTTGTTTTGTTTTTATTGCATTGAGTGGGCGACCTCTCTCTCTCTCCCCCTGTGTGTGTGTTTTGCTTTACGGGAGCAATGAGAGTGTGTATGCTGGTCGTCCCACGCTTCGGCTTCTTTTCTTTTTTTACTTGTGTTGTGGTTGAGTGCACCCATTATTTTTTTTTTTTAATTGGTGGATTGCCTTGACTGCAGATTCTCAAAATTTTCCTTGTGTGTTATTATACTGTTCCTTTCTTGATGAGAGAGTGCCAGTCTCTTTTTTCCTTGTCACGCCACCAAGTTTTTTTATTTATTTATTTGACATACAGCATGCGTCCGTTGATCCACGTTACTCTGTGACCTGCATTGCTTTTGGTGCTGCTATTGATGATGCCTGCGATGTGATTTGTCGGCGGATGTATTGCTCTCAGCCTGACGTATCCTTCGTTCCTTGACGATTTGTTGCGTACAGACGGTGCGTGGGCGTCTCTGGTGATAGTGAGGGACGCGTGTCTCAGAGCGCAGGATGCGTCGCGGGTGTGCAGCGTCGTTTGGAAGGAACGATGGGTGCCCATCCGCGTCCAGGCATCATCAACGGACTGTGAGGACAGCATAAGGCACTGCGGCTTCTTTTGGTGTTGCACAAAGAATTTATTGGACGGTGCTTTGTATTCAATCTTTTGGAGCTTTTGTGGGAGAAGGTGGGAGGTTGAGGGAATCAGGACTGAATTCATTTGAGTGGCTGCGTTCCGTTGACTTGCGGCCAGTCGTGGCACTCTTTTGGGCTTTGGCAGCTTGTCTCTTTTGTTTACTTCCAACCGCAGCACGTGGATAACACTGATCCGAGGAACATTTGTTTGACCGCGTGTGAGCTGCTGCCGTGCGTGGTGCATGGAATATGTGATTGTGTGGGGAGGTGCGTTGGAGTGACGAATACTTCTGTTTGGCGTGTTGCGGTGTGTCGGAATGATGTTCGGATGACACGTGGAGGGTGTTGTTTGTGATTTGTGTGTCTTCTCTGGTGGAGCCGACATGTGTGCGGGGATTGTGGCGTTGCTGGCTGACAGCTCCACGTCACTTTTCAGCATTCCCGGATGTGCTGAGGAATGACGGCTGGCGACCAGCGTGTTGGTGCTGCTGGTGGGAATGAGTGCATCGGGAATAGTCCGTTTTCTCTTTCCCATGCTGGAGCCGATGAACTGGCACGAGGGCACCGGCTGCAGGCTGCCTGCCAGCACGTGTGAGCAGCGGATCCATGCACACACCGACGCTCATCGCAAGAGCGTGTGCGATCACAGTGGCCTTTTGTGGCGTGCTTTTGTGGACGTCAGCCCGTTGAAGAATGTGTGAAGCAAACGGCTGACTGCACACGAGGAAAATAAGTGCGTGCACTGTGCCGTGTTTCATCGTCGGTGGCACAGCGGCAGGAAGCCCGTGCTGGCAACTGAGATCTTTGCGTCGCGAGGGATGTCGGTGTTGATTTTGGATCGTCGAGGGTGAAGTGATTTTGCTGCTGCCCGTGTGTGTGGCCACTCCGGCAGAGGGCGGACACAAAAGGGAGGGATGCAGGCGCTGCGTGTGTGTGTGTGTGCAGGTGCCATGCAACAGCGTCACAACAAACATGCTGCGACTCGGTGACCCTCACATCGTTGTGGTCCTCACGAACAGCCCAGGCACGGCCCACACCGATGCACTTAGTGGACGGAGTGAGGCATCTTTTGAGGCGCTGCAGGGAACAGGATGTGTTGACGCAGCCACGACGTGCATGGAGTGTCACGATGGCACAGTCAGCTGTGGCTGGTGGAATATTTACTTCTCGGAGGCAATACAGAGAGAGAGAGAGAGCTGCTCCTGCTGCTGGCGTCGTTGCTGCCTCTTGTGGCCTCCCATGCCGATTATTGTCTGTCCGCTGATCATGGGTGGCATGCCTCCACTAGTGACGTCGTCTGCAGGCATTTCACAGCACCAGTGAAACACACATCACGTCGCATGCTTTGGCTGTGGATGTGGTGCCGTGAGTGCAGCCGGCATTATTTTGCCCGACTCCTTTTCACTGCTTTGCGACGAATAGATGCGTCACCGCCCGAGTCATTCACTGCAGCTCCGTGTGTTGTACTGCCAGCACAAGACTCTCTTGTTGTCTGACGCCTGGCTGACAGTCAAGCACCACTGCGTTGGGACATGCAGGGATGTGGACTGCCGCTCACGGTGTTGGGCACCGCTGTTTGGATGCGGCGGCCACACGAGCGGATGTATTGTGGCACAATGAAATGCGTGAAATACGCGGAATCGCAGCGGCTGCAATAATATCAGCGGTGTGGCACCACGGAGTATGTGAGAGGGTGATGCATGATGAATCACAGTGGGCGGCATGCGAGGGAAGTGCACCGCGACGGAGCGTCATCCCGCCCTCAGCCTGCAGGGGAATGTACACCCACAAAATATAAGGCCGAGACACCACCAAACACACATGCCCTTCCATGCACCAATAAATAGGAGCGAAGGTGCGTTCTGGTGCGTGGGAGTCCACTCATATATTTTCATTTCCACCGCAATAAACGGTGAGGAATCAGGTGCCACAGCAACGAAAGGAAAAACAAACATCTACTGCAACACCTTACCAGCGAAAGGCAGTAACAACACAAACCGAATTATTGGCTGCACCAACACAAGAAACAGCCACAAGAGGAAAAGAAAATAATTGTGCACCCTGCAGAAATCCCCAACACACGATGCAGGCATGAAGGTTTGCTCTATGAAAAAACAAAACAACGCATGCAGGCATCTGCCAACATCCAAACAGAAACACAAATAAATGGTTGTCTGCTTTATGCCATTCCTTGCGCTTATTTTTGACTGCGCTGCTGCTGCGATGTTTGCTGGGCCTGCATGAAGTGGTGTGCGCTGAATATGAACGAAGGCCAAAGTAAAATGAATTGTTTTTGTGATGAATATTGGCTGCACTTCCCGTGGACCAACAATCCGCGTGGTGTGCGGGGATCTCTTTTTTTAATTGTTACTTTGCTTTTGTGTTGCTGTGTGCGCTGCAACTCCTCTTTTGTTTGTGCGTACCCTCCGTGAGGGGTGCCGACACGACGGACCGCTCTCGCCGTATGTGCATGCGGTGGAGCCTTGTGTGCCGCTCCTGTTTGCTTCTCCCTCTTCCATCTGTGTGTTGGTGTTGCGGCAGGGCTGTGTGTGTGTGTGTGTGCCTGTTGCCGTGGATTGGAGTGTGTGTCGTGCGTGGTGTGCGGCGTACGGTGCATGCCTGACTGCTGCCCTCTCCTCATGTGGTGTGCCCTCTGTGTGTGTCCGCCGCACTTCTCGTCTCCCCTGTTGCTCTCCATGTCCCTCACTGTGCAGATCAGCTCCACACCACTGAACGACCACACTCACGATGATGACGTGCCGTCTGCTGTGCGCCCTGTTGGTGCTCGCCCTGTGCTGCTGCCCGTCCGTGTGCGCGACAGCGGTTGTCGTGGAAGAAGCTAACCGCAGTACGGACTCCGATACGCAAAAGGGTGTAGGTGGGACGAACGTTAAGCAAAACGGAACAAATGGGAGCCCAGAACTAAGGACCAAAGAGTCCGTGGATGAAGGTGAGAGCGGTACGCAAGTCATAGAAGGCAGACTCACCGATGTGATCTCCAACAGTGGTGGTGCGTCCGGTGAGCCAGGGAAACCAAGCGCTGTGGATCAATCCGCAAAAAAAACAAAATTGGAGGTTCCTGTGGGAAAAACGACGACCACGACGACAACCACAACGACCACAACTACAACAATGGCACCAACTACTACAACAACAACCACCACTGCGCCGGATGCACCAAACACTACGACTACAGAGGCGCCAACTACGACGACCACCCGCGCACCGACACGTCTTCGTGAAATCGACGGCAGTCTCAGCAGCTCTGCGTGGGTGTGTGCCCCGCTGCTGCTCGCCGTATCCGCGCTGGCGTACACCACTCTGGGCTGAAGAGGTGTGTATGCGGGCTGTGCGTGCCAGCACTCAACCACGGGGATTTGTGCGCGTCTACTATGGTCCGATGTAAATAAATAAGAGATAATAATGATTGTGTTTTGCTTCATTTGCTTCTGCTGCTCTGCTGTGTGCTCCGTGTTGCTGCTCCCTGTATCCGTCACGTTGAACGCATCCCAGACACACTTATATGCACGACACGCCCACAACTGTTTGCGTGGACGCATTTTTGCGTGCTGGTGCATGCGCACTGGGGCCATTCGTTGCAGCTCCTTGTTTTTTGTGTTTTGTGTTTTTAACTATTTTTTTTTACTTTCTTTTTTTCTGTTTTTGTTTTGTTGTTGCTTGTTTTTTGTGTTCATTTTGCTTGTTTTTAACTTCCTCCGGGGCGTTGTGAGTTTTTTTTCATTTTTTTAATGGTTTATTTTCTTTAATTTTTTCTTTTTCATTTGTTTACTAATCTTTTACTCCCCCATCTCTTCACTTTTTTGCTTTTGGGGGCAATCAATATGGACGTTTTTTTCTTTTCTACTCTTCCCTCTTTTAATTGTTTCTTCTGCACTCTTCCTGTGAGGGGTGCCGTGTGTTTCCCGCCCAACTGCTCCACCCGCACACCCACCGACACGCTCATGACGACGGCCCTGTGCGCCTCGCCTGCTGCACGCATGAGGAGGGGCCGCGACGAACGGCGCGCTGAGGGAGCCGTGACGTGTGGGCGTGCGACGAGGACCTGTGGGGCGGAGCACACATTTCTTTCCCTCTTGTTTTGTTTTCTTTGCGGCCAGGGCGGGCAGACACCCGCAGCGCCACACACCCACAGCCACACCCTGCCGCCGTGTTTTTAAGGATTTTGCTTTGCGTGTGCATTTCACGCGCCGACAGTCCCTTCGGTGTCGGCCTCGTGAGCATTTCTCTTCCTTCTGATGATTTTTTCTTTTGCTGCGCTCACTCTCCCGATGGAGTGACGCGACTCCCGTCATGTCTGCGTGCTTCTCTCAGTCCTCACACACACGAGTGACTGTGCTCTGCGGGCCGCACTCACGCGCCGATGAAAGGGCTGAGGGGAGCAGCAACAAGCAGATGACCCCATGAAATATAAACGATGTGCGGACACGCAGAGGGTCAGACGGTTGAAAGACATGCAACTATTTAATTTTCTTTTGCGGGCAAAATATATGCAGACAGTTTGGTGTGGCCACACGGCAGCCGGCTGCTTTTTAAAATTGTGTGGAACAGTAATGGAAGATTTCTTTTATTTATAATTATTTTGTGTGATGGGGCTTATATAAGACGAAGGGGAAAGATTTTTTGTTCTAAATAAATCTTGTGTGAATTGCCACTGCTTGGGCTGCGGTGCAATCATGAGTTTGATCGGTTTTCTTCTCTCTGTTTCCGCCATGCACCTCCGCTGTACATTTTTTTTTTGCGTCCCTTCACATGCTCTGCTTCCTTTTTTCCTACTTCTTTGATTTGTGTTTCTGCAGGCACACACACACAAGATGCGCATTGTAGTGGATTTGAATGCTTCTTTTGCAGTGCATGCTGGCAGTTGCGGGTGGCGGCTTTTGTCTTCTTCCGTGGCCTTGAGGAGAAGGGAGGAGGAGAGGGAGTGCGCAGCCCGAGTCTTCTTTCCTGCGGGTGTGGTGCACCGCGTGTGACTGCGTTGAGTTGGGCTCCGTGTCCCATTGAGGGCGGGATGGCTGGAAATTTTGGCCATTTCCCGTTGGCTGTGGGAATGATCTGGAGGAGATGGTGGTGGATATCTTCTCCTCCTGCATGGTGGGTGGCTGCTGGCGTCATGTGCCTTCCTTGCGTGGATGCCGTCTCGTGGTGTGTGAACTGTGCGGCTGGGCCTGCTGCCTTCTCATGTTGTCTGCTCTCTCTCGCTGTATCCTCGGTGCTCCGTCCATCTTCCTCTTGTTGCATTCTTTTTCTTCTGTCTCACGGATCAGCTGACTGGCTCCAGCGACTCCACTACGGGTGATGATGACTGCGATGATGACGATGGTGACGGCGCCGTGCGGTGTGCGCCGTGTTGGTCCTTGCGCTCACGTGCTGCTTGTCTGTGTGCGTGACGGCTGCTGGGAGTGCTGGAGATGTATCTGGTGATGCGGATGCGGTGGTTGTGCCGGTGGATGTGTCGTGAGCTCCGAGTGACGGCAGCCTGAGTTATCGCGTGTGTGTGTGTGGGCGTGGAAAAGGTGTTCTGCTGCCGGTGCTGAGGCTCAGCATGAGAATTATACTTTCAGTGGCTTTGATGTGCGCATGCATGGCAGGAATGGTGAGCTGGGTGCTGTGTGCCATGTGGCCAATGCGGTGCACACATGTAGCAACTGTGCTGCCAGCTGTGCAAGGAAAGAGGAAGGGGCCACCGTTGCCTTCACGATGAATGTGACGACACATAAATACGCCGGCCCTTATGAATTGTGGTGGCGTCAATTTCCTCCCGATGGAACCATCCATCCGCCTGCACGGAGCGGCGATGCTGACCAGACGGGCATCCGTCAGTTGCCGCCACCCCGTGAAGGGAAGGATGACACAAAATCTGGTGGGACAACTGCGCCGCAAGTTGATGCTGAGCCGTCACGTCAAAACGAGGATTCAAGTATCCACAGTCAAAGCAAAGTGCTGATCGAAAAAGGTGTAATTGGGTGCACTCAAACACAATGCAAGTAAAAAAATAAACAAAAAGAAGCCGAAGCGTGGGACGACCAGCGCACACACTCTCATTGCTCCCGTAAAGCAAAACACACACACAGGGGGAGAGAGAGAGGCCGCCCACTCAATGCAATAAAAACAGTTACGGTGCTCCGCCCATGCAGCCAGGCAGGACGGCAGCGGTGCGTGTGGTGCAAAAGAGAGCACCAACGGGCCTGCATGGGTGTACATGCATATATACAATGGGCACATTATGTGTGTGCCTCGTGGGGTGAGGTGACGGTGAGGTGTTAAGACACATTATTGAGGACAATCCTAAGTTTATCCTTAATTGGGCTTAGGTGTCGTGTGCCGTTAGTACTGATTCTTCTATTCATAGTCGAATAAGTTTTCTGTTCCTTCAAATCCCTGTAACTCTAATATTGATGGAAGGAAATGGAAGAGGAAGTCTTTTCGTTATCATGCAGGCCGAGGTACTTTCTCTGCGCGCTGCTCGTTTTTGGTTGCTTTTTCCGCCATCTTGCCACCCACCATCGACATTTGGGTGACAACACTTTGCTGCAAGGAGCGGCGAATAAAGGCAGCTCAAAATCACATGCCTTACGCGGGAGCTGCAACTGAATCATGAGTTTTTGGAGTCTCGCGGGATACAGGCATCCTTTGCCTACGTACGGTCAGCAGAAAACCCTGCCGACGGCATATCGCGTGGTCGTGTGTTTACACTTCAGGACTTGGCGAAGGGGAGCGGTGGGGTCTTGTGGCAGGAGGAGTCCAAAGTTTGCCACTTCGTGAGTTATAATATTTCTATTACTAACAAAATACAACGTGTCATGAGAGTGGCAATCTGAATATATATCCTTGGAGCAGACAATGAGGAGGTGGCGAACCCACGGCCTCTCCATTTAACTTTTCCTTTCATCCATCATGTTTGACTTATTTAGATCATTTCAGGTTGCGGCCAGCAGCCCAGCCCAATATTGCTTTGTATAAGCGGTTGTGGGTTGCTAGTTCTGCCACTGGGACGTTTGGCTTGTAGCAAACTGCGGTAGGCGATTAATAGCTATTTGCTTCTATACGAGCACCTTTGAAGGGGTGTTTGTTCCCTGGTTGCCGGAGATTTAGTGCGTGCGAGACGTCGGCGTTTGCTCGTTTATTTTCTGTTATTTATTTATTTATATTATCGTGAGGCGCTGTTTTGCTCGATGGGGCGCAGTGTTGGGAAGGAGAACTGTTTGCGCAACCTGGCGTCACGCCGTGCGGTGCGCTTATTGGGAAAACAGCGGTTCTGTTGAACAAATGTTCAACTTGACGGCAAAATACTTTTGTCGGGATGCCGGAGGTAGAAAAAGATATGCTTAGCCCAACACCTGAAAAAGAGTGGCACCATCATTTCGAGTAAAAACCGCTTTTGCTTTAGAATTTATGACCATGAGGGTGTAATTTTCTCTTCGACAAATATGGAAATGAAAAAGCGACGTTGTTGAACTCAACAAGAGACCTTTAATTGTGTAGCTCCTTATTGCATTGTTTCTCGGCTGCGGGGGATCATCGTTCCACCGTGCCAGCTCGGTGGCATGGCGTATCGTGTGCGTTTCACGCCCTCTCCGGGGCCGGGACCTCCTTTTACGTTCCCACTCGGCAGGGCGGACGTGCTCGAAGACGGTGGCCGGCTTGTGGGTTATAAAATTTATTGGGAAAAAAAACACGATGAACAAGCAATAGAGAAGCAATGGACCCCTATTTAGCACTCGATTCTGGAAATTTACTTTGCGTTCCATTGATTTGGATGGTTGTTTTATGGAACTTGTCTTGGCGATATGAGCTTGGGATTCTTGCACGTGCCGCATGCTTGAGGAAGGGGCGTGTGGAAAATTATTCTTTCCCGATCTAATACATCGTTACCAGAGGCATGGCTTTTTCAAGGCGCGGATCCACGTTGTCTGCCGATGCAGCCGATGAAAGGCGACACACGCATGGAGCCCGCTGGAGAAACCAATTTTGAAGTGAGTTCAGGCCGTTTTTTACACACCGGGTAAATTTCGATCTCTTTTCTCCTGCCCATAGATGCGGGTTTCTGCGAGAGACTTTTTTCTGTAATTGAATATCTATATGAGTGATGAAATCTCTTTTCCATCGCACCCCGCTATTTCCTTTGTACTGTATATATGGAGAAAGAGAGAGAGGGAGGCCTTGTATTCAGTTTACGAATGGGAATGCAAACTGGAAAAGAAGATACTGTGACTTTCTTTCTACGAAGTCCCCACAACATTATTATTACTGCATGGTTTATTCTCCCTTTCCTGAGAAGCTTCCTTCTGCCCTTTAGGGGAAAGCATACA